GTGCCAAAATGCGGGGAATCCATCAGGGGGGCCACAAATCCCAAAAAACAGTATGCCCTCAGGGCACAATCGACGAACTTTGAAAACCCTACTTCTAGCCGTCCAAACAGCTAAAAATGCACGTCATTCGAAAGAGGACAAAATTTTACGTACAACGGTACCAAATTTAGGGGGCTAGCGCCCCCCTGAACCGAACAAAACAGCTTCAAATATATGGGCCCGGGAGTATGCCCTCGGGGCATAAATAAACGTTTTCAACAATTTCAGGCCTATAACATCAACAAAATCCAGCAATATGCACATCATTGGAAAGAGCGTAATTTCCCAAACAAAAAACCCAAGTAACATTTTTCGATGGGGCCCACCTGGGGCCCACGGGACCCAATTGAAATTTGGGGCCCAATGGGGCGGCCCCTACGATTTTCTTCAAAATTTGCACAGACACTCTCCTGGGCCCCCTCTTCAATCTGGCTGAAGAAACCTACCGGGGAATCCAAAGGAAGGGGCCCAAAGAGGGCCCCAAAGAGGCCCTTTCTAAGTATTGCCCCTAATTTCGCGACCAACCCCGGCAATATGCACATCATTGGAAAGAGCGTAATTTCCCAAACAAAAAACCCAAGTAACATTTCTCGATGGGGCCCACCTGGGGCCCACGAGACCCAATTGAAATTTGGGGCCCAATGGGGCGGCCCCTACGATTTTCTTCAAAATTTGCACAGACACTCTCCTGGGCCCTCTCTTCAATCTGGCTGAAGAAACCTACCGGGGAATCCAAAGGAAGGGGCCCAAAGAGGGCCCCAAAGAGGCCCTTTCTAAGTATTGCCCCTAATTTCGCGACCAACCCCGGCAATATGCACATCATTGGAAAGAGCGTAATTTCCCAAACAAAAAACCCAAGTAACATTTTTCGATGGGGCCCACCTGGGGCCCACGGGACCCAATTGAAATTTGGGGCCCAATGGGGCGGCCCCTACGATTTTCTTCAAAATTTGCACAGACACTCTCCTGGGCCCCCTCTTCAATCTGGCTGAAGAAACCTACCGGGGAATCCAAAGGAAGGGGCCCAAAGAGGGCCCCAAAGAGGCCCTTTCTAAGTATTGCCCCTAATTTCGCGACCAACCCCGGCAATATGCACATCATTGGAAAGAGCGTAATTTCCTTAACAAAAAACCCAAGTAATATTTTTCGATTGGGCCCACATGGGGCCCACGGGACCCAATTGAAATTTGGGGCCCAATGGGGCGGCCCCTACGATTTTCTTCAAAATTTGCACAGACACTCTCCTGGGCCCCCTCTTCAATCTGGCTGAAGAAACCTACCGGGGAATCCAAAGGAAGGGGCCCAAAGAGGGCCCCAAAGAGGCCCTTTCTAAGTATTGCCCCTAATTTCGCGACCAACCCCGGCAATATGCACATCATTGGAAAGAGCGTAATTTCCCAAACAAAAAACCCAAGTAACATTTTTCGATGGGGCCCACCTGGGGCCCACGGGACCCAATTGAAATTTGGGGCCCAATGGGGCGGCCCCTACGATTTTCTTCAAAATTTGCACAGACACTCTCCTGGGCCCCCTCTTCAATCTGGCTGAAGAAACCTACCGGGGAATCCAAAGGAAGGGGCCCAAAGAGGGCCCCAAAGAGGCCCTTTCTAAGTATTGCCTCTAATTTCGCGACCAACCCCGGCAATATGCACATCATTGGAAAGAGCGTAATTTCCCAAACAAAAAACCCAAGTACCATTTTTCGATGGGGCCCACCTGGGGCCCACGGGACCCAATTGAAATTTGGGGCCCAATGGGGCGGCCCCTACGATTTTCTTCAAAATTTGCACAGACACTCTCCTGGGCCCCCTCTTCAATCTGGCTGAAGAAACCTACCGGGGAATCCAAAGGAAGGGGCCAAAAGAGGGCCCCAAAGAGGCACTTTCTAAGTATTGCCCCTAATTTCGCGACCAACCCCGGCAATATGCACATTATTGGAAAGAGGAAATTACGCTCTTTCCAATGATGTGCATATTGCCGGGGTTGGTCGCGAAATTAGGGGCAATACTTAGAAAGGGCCTCTTTGGGGCCCTCTTTGGGCCCCTTCCTTTAGATTCCCCGGTAGGTTTCTTCAGCCAGATTGAAGAGGGAGCCCAGGAGAGTGTCTGTGCAAATTTTGAAGAAAATCGTAGGGGCCGCCCCATTGGGCCCCAAATTTCAATTGGGTCCCGTGGGCCCCAGGTGGGCCCCATCGAAAAATGTTACTTGGGTTTTTTGTTTGGGAAATTACGCTCTTTCAAATGATGTGCATATTGCCGGGGTTAGTCGCGAAATTAGGGGCAATACTTAGAAAGGGCCTCTTTGGGGCCCTCTTTGGGCCCCTTCCTTTGGATTCCCCGGTAGGTTTCTTCAGCCAGATTGAAGAGGGGGCCCAGGAGAGTGTCTGTGCAAATTTTGAAGAAAATCGTAGGGGCCGCCCCATTGGGCCCCATCGAAAAATGTTACTTGGGTTTTTTGTTTGGGAAATTACGCTGTTTCCAATGATGTGCATATTGCCGGGGTTGGTCGCGAAATTAGGGGCAATGCTTAGAAAGGGCCTCTTTGGGCCCCTTCCTTTGGATTCCCCGGTAGGTTTCTTCAGCCAGATTGAAGAGGGGGCCCAGGAGAGTGTCTGTGCAAATTTTGAAGAAAATCGTAGGGGCCGCCCCATTGGGCCCCAAATTTCAATTGGGTCCCGTGGGCCCCAGGTGGGCCCCATCGAAAAATGTTACTTGGGTTTTTTGTTTGGGAAATTACGCTCTTTCCAATGATGTGCATATTGCCGGGGTTGGTCGCGAAATTTGGGGCAATACTTAGAAAGGGCCTCTTTGGGGCCCTCTTTGGGCCCCTTCCTTTGGATTCCCCGGTAGGTTTCTTCAGCCAGATTGAAGAGGGGGCCCAGGAGAGTGTCTGTGCAAATTTTGAAGAAAATCGTAGGGGCCGCCCCATTGGGCCCCAAATTTCAATTGGGTCCCGTGGGCCCCAGGTGGGCCCCATCGAAAAATGTTACTTGGGTTTTTTGTTTGGGAAATTACGCTCTTTCCAATGATGTGCATATTGCCGGGGTTGGTCGCGAAATTAGGGGCAATACTTAGAAAGGGCCTCTTTGGGGCCCTCTTTGGGCCCCTTCCTTTGGATTCCCCGGTAGGTTTCTTCAGCCAGATTGAAGAGGGAGCCCAGGAGAGTGTCTGTGCAAATTTTGAAGAAAATCGTAGGGGCCGCCCCATTGGGCCCCAAATTTCAATTGGGTCCCGTGGGCCCCAGGTGGGCCCCATCGAAAAATGTTACTTGGGTTTTTTGTTTGGGAAATTACGCTCTTTTCAATGATGTGCATATTGCTGGATTTTGTCGAGGTTATAGGCCTGAAATTGTTGAAAACGTTTATTTATGCCCCGAGGGCATACTCCCGGGCCCATATATTTGAAGCTGTTTTGTTCGGTTCAGGGGGGCGCTAGCCCCCTAAATTTGGTACCGTTGTACGTAAAATTTTGTCCTCTTTCGAATGACGTGCATTTTTAGCTGTTTGGACGGCTAGAAGTAGGGTTTTCAAAGTTCGTCGATTGTGCCCTGAGGGCATACTGTTTTTTGGGATTTGTGGCCCCCCTGATGGATTCCCCGCATTTTGGCACTAGGATTTTCGATAGAGGACACCATTCTGCACCTCTCCACCAAAATTCAGCGAAATCGTAGGGGCCGTCGATCCCTGCTGAATCCCTGCTGAACCCCTGCTGAATCCCTGCTAACTTCCGTTACATCGAGTTTTCAGACTTCGTGATTAAAGTTTTATTTTTTATTTGTTTAATTTTGTTTTTCACCTTGATACTTACTTAAAAAACGTATTTATTTGATATACTGTTGTGTATACTACCTAGATGCCGCCACATAAACATAGCGCCGCCGCCATGATTGCATATTTTGTTGAGAAGGGGCTGGTTTGTTGTGATTTATTTTGACAAATTTATGGACATTTAAAGAAGCTTTCATCGCGAAATACTCTGTAGAGTTCCTCGTTACTTACAGTGTGTTTTGTGAGTATCCTAGTTTTAAGGTTCTGTTTGTTAAAAAGCCGTCGGTGAAGGAAAAAAGACTGTGTTGGAATTGTCTCACTATCGCCATATATAAGTGTTAAACTTAATGTAGCCCTGTAGCCCATCATTGTTGAGTGGCTTCTTAGTTTTTGGAGTTGTAGTGCTAAGTAAGTTATTCTGATGACTACATTTTAACTTTTATTACAACTAATGATGCTAGAGATTCTCTGATCTTTTTGGTTGCGGAATTTTTATGAAAACCCTCCTATGTGTGACATGATGTGATATTGGATAATTCTCAAGATTCCCAAAATTCAATATCAAGTAGGTTTTCTTTCACATTGCTTAAATTTGGTTTAGGTTTTGTATTTTCCCAGTGGGTTTTGTTTGCATCAGTTTCCAAATTTTCTTAAATTGACATTAGTCGCAAAACCCATAGTGCACTGCACAAAGCTTTTGGCCCGGCCCGTCCATAGCCCGTTAACTAATGATATTTGGGGGCCCGGCCCAGCCCGTAGCCCAGCCCGGCCCATGGCCCGTTGGGCTGGCCCGGCCCGTGGCGAACACTGCTCCCCACCATGGACCAGTCAGCTGAGCTCCATAGTGGCCGAGAGGAACGTATCGGAGAACACAATGACTTACTGTGAATTATGCAGCTTGCTAAATTCATTGATAAAGGGCAATCGAAACAAAGTCCGCGGGATTTTACACAAAAATGATACCAATTCGTTACCATACTTTTACGACTCAAAACACGACTCATAACATGGAGTTCTCTTGCACATAAAAAAGACTTGATTTTTTAGCACCATTGCTTTTTTCGGGACATCCAGTGGCAATTATATAGGATGGCATCCAGTAGCAATTACATAGGACACAAAATATAAACGACCTCCCCCAGTTCCCCGCTCCCCCTCCGCCTAGCCGTTCGATAGTGCCGCCGTTGCGACTCACGATGTCGATGACGACGTCCTTGTGGAAGGTGTTGCGCCACTCCGCGGCGATCTGACACACGTGCATCACGGCCTCCGGGTCGTCGCCGTTCACGTGGAAAATGGGCGCGTTCACCACGCGCGCCACGTCCGTGCAGTAGGGAGACGAGCGGGTGAGGCGCGGGTCCGTCGTGAAGCCGATCTGTGGGGAGAGGTCACAGGTCAGAGAGGTCAGATAGGTCACGGGCCAGAGGTCAGAGAGGTCACAGTAGGGCGAGGAGCGCGTGAGGCGCCGGTCCGTCTTGAGACCGGTCTGAAAGAGGGAATGTGGCTCAGAGGTCAACAGACTAAGTGACTGCCAAGAACAGAAGGTGACTTTTCTGTGTGTGATCACCGTTCCGTGCTTCTATCCTCAGGATACTGAAATCCTTCTCCTCCACGCCGCAACCCCCTTCCGGGCTGGACAGGCAACTTTATCTCATGCGGGCTGCTCCCGAGGGAGCGGCACCGCTGCTCCCGCGGGAGCGCACCCCGTAGCCGGGTGCAGTGAGTGCCTTGGAGCTGGGTGGCCTGTCCTCTGGACGGGCTCAGCCCCGGCGACTCACTAGGGTGCCTGCCCAGACCAATGTCTCCCCCTATATTCTATCATCCTCCCGGCTCTGAAATGGTCTTGTCAGACCGAAAAGGCCTAACCCAACAAAACAAACAAACTTTTCTGTCGCAAATGACGCCAGCTGTCAGATAATTAGATAACCCAGCAGCATTGTTCTGTTCATGTCTGCGACTGCCCAGTCCGGTCGACACCGACCCACAAGCAGCTTGTGGCTGCGTATGACTGAGCCCCGTTATGGATGCGTAGTAGTGTGTCTGTTAAGCACGCAGCAATGTGGTCACGATACGAGAACGATGCTGTGATCCACACAGGACGCTGTGCAGGTTTATATCAGCGTGTCAGTAGATGTCAGAAGGTGTCAGCGTAAAACTTGTCAGTGTCAGTATATCGGTACATGGTTGTTGACCACGATGTGTATCGTTCCGTAGGTGGTGTAGGCCGGCAGGTCAGGTAGGTGTCAGTGGTCAGAAGGTGTCAGTGTCAGTCGGTGTCAGTACCAGTATGTGTCAGTAGGTGTTAGTGTGACGGTGTCCCTATATTCGTACATACCTGATTGTTGACCACGATGTGTATCGTTCCGTGTGTGGTGTAGGCCGGCAGGTCGGACAAGTGGAAGGTCTCGTAGACGACTCCCTGTCCAGAGAAGGCCGCGTCTCCGTGCAGCAGAATCGACATCGCCTGTAGAGGGAGAGGGGGAGGGTCAGAACCACCCGGCAGGGTCTGTACCGGGGTACGCCGCGTCTCCGTGCAGCAAGATCGACATCGCCTGCAGAGGGGAGACGGGGAGGGGGGTCAGAACTCAGAACCACCCGGCAGGGGTCAGTACCGGGGCACGCCGCGTCTCCGTGCAGTAGGATCGACATCGCCTGATGATGGGCACGAGGGGGGGGGGGGGGTCAGAACCTCCCGGCAGGGGTCAGTACCGGGGCACGCCGCGTCTCCGTGCAGTAGGATCAACATCGCCTGTAGAGGGGAGACGGGGCGGGGGGGTCAGAGCCTCCCGGCAGGGGTGAGTACCGGGGTACGCCGCGTCTCCGTGCAACAGGATCAACATCGCCTGTGGAGGGAGACGGGGGAGAGGGGGGGGGGTCAGAGCCTCCCGGCAGGGGTCAGTACGGTCCGGGGCACGCCGCGTCTCCGTGCAGCGGGATCGACATCGCCTGCAGAGGGGAGACGGGGTCAGCCTCAGCGGAGCAGCGCCCAGCTCAGCGAGGGTGTGGCTGGGCCGGGCGGCGTCTCTGAGCTCACCATGACAGCGGCACACAGCGGCCGACCGCAGAGAAAACACTCGTATGCAGGGCTTCCATGAGGGGTAGTGAAATATTGACGCAAGCTGATTAACTTCGGTAAGGCGGCGGAATCATATCACACAGATCTACGCTAACTTAATTCAAATAAAAGATCGGATTATTGATGATGAAAATCCGATAGTCGGCACAGAAATCAGAATCATCAAATATATGCATGCTTGTCCATGACGGCTGTCTTGCCCAGCCGGCTCCCGCCTTCTATCGCCACCCACCACCCTTCCCGCCTCTCCCAGTCATCTGTGACCTCTCCCCGCCACTCTTCTTCTCCCTCCCTCTCTGCCCGGCGTCTGACCCCGTTTCCGTCTCCAACCCTGTATCTGACCTTGTTGCCGTCCGAGCCGCCGCGGTGGAACTGCTCGGCCCTGGTCTTGTACCCGTCCACTGGCCCCTCCTTCCCTCCCCATGTACCTAGGTACATTCTCTGCCCCTGCCGGCCTCCCCCTCCCCCTGCTATCGGTACATTCTCTGACCTTGTACTCGTCCCCTGGCCCCTCCTTCCCTCCCCATGTACAGGTCTCGCGGGTTTTAGCGGTAGGTTTTGCACCTAGAAAATTTAGTGTACTTCAGGCTATATCTTCGTAGTCTTAAGCTTTTAAGTGTTGAAGATGCGAGCGACTTGTTGGGTTACAAGCCGGCCATGATCGTGTAAAATGGCTTCATAGTAGATCGATTAGTTTCTGAGATATAACCGGAAATGTAAAAGTGCAAAACCTACCGCTTAATCTCGCAACAGCCGTACCTAGGTATATTCCCTGCCCCTGTCCCTCCCCCTGCAGGTACATTCTCTGACCTTGTTTCCGTCCGAGTCGCCGCGGTAGAACTGCTCGGCCTTGACCTTGTACCCGTCCCATGGCCCTCCTTCCCTCCCCATGTACCTAGGTATATTATCTGCCCCTGCCCCTGTCCCTCCCCTGCCCTCGGCATATTCTCTGACCTTGTTGCCGTCCGAGTCGCCGCGGTAAAACTGCTCGGCCTTGACCTTGCCCTGCACCACGGGGTCGACGGCCTCCAGGTGGCTGGGGTTGGCCACAATGGCCAGGCGCACGTTCTTGTTGGTGACTCGGTTCAGACGCTCGATGTACGTGCCCAGGTGGTATTTGACGTCACCGGAGCCCTGAGAAAATGACGTCACAAGGGGGTCAGACCCCCAGAGCCAGGTCCGCGGACGGTGGACTTATCAAAGGTCACCAGAACGTGAACTAGGTCAGCACGTCAGGTTAGACGGCCAATCAGCTAAGCTGACACACACAATAGTCAGATATGGGTACAATCATAAGCTACTGTCTAAAACTGCGGATGATAAATATGTGTTTCGAGCACCGGTAGGCGGCTTTATTTCACTGAGATGCGGCATATGGTGACACCAGTACAGACTGCAGCCTACATTACCTCGTCGGCGACCTCGAGCGCGGCAAACTGGGCGAATATCTGCTCCAGAGGCTTCCGGCACACGTTGGCCAGTACGTTCAGACGGCCGCGGTGGGGCATACCTGAGACATACAGAGAGGCACAGATGAGACAGACAGCTGGGACATAACGGCGAAACAAACCTAAGACACAACGGATAGGGACAGAAAAGAGAGTCAGAGACGTAATGGGAGAGAAATGACTGACACATAGGGGCGGTATACTTGAGACAGAACGGACCGAAAGCTGAGACTTTTCGGGATATAAATGCCTGAAATACGTCACCGGACTGAGATGGATAAAATCAACTTCAAGAACGATCGGCAAATCATATGAGCACACATTGCAGATACCGACAGCCCGACCAGCACAGAGCATGACGGGCCATCTCAACCATGACGACAGCATCTCAACATCTCACCCATGACGAGGGATGGACTCCCAACTCGACGCCCTACTCACCCATGACGAAGGACGACTCCGTACTCACCCATGACGAAGGACGACTCCGGACTCACCCATGACGAACGACTCGACTCCGGACTCAACTCCGGACTCACCCATGACGAACGACTCGACTGGACTCGATTGACTCACCCATGACGAAGGACTCGACTCCCATTGCTGAGCTGACGTCGATGATGTGTTTCATGGCCGGGATGAGCACCTCACCACCCTCCAGGCCGAACCGCTTCTCCGAGGAGAACTTGCGGGCCAGGAACGACTCCAGCCTGCCGAGGGAGGGGGAGGGGGTCAGTCAGCAGCGGGGGGAGGGGGAGGGAGCCTGAACGACTCCAGACTGCAGACGGGGGGGGGGGGGGGGGTCAGTCAGCAGCGGGGGGAGGAAGCCTGAACGACTCCAGACTGCAGACGGGGGGGGGGGGGGTCAGTCAGCAGCGGGGGAGGTCGGTCTCCAGCCAGGAACGGCTCCAGACTGCAGACGGGGGGATCAGTCTGCAGCCTGAACGACTCCAGCCTGCCCAGGGAGGGGGACAGAGGGGAGGTCAGTCAGCGGCGGGGAGAGGTCGGTCTCCAGCCAGGAGCGACTCCAGTCCACCACGGAGAGGAGGGCGGGTACACTGGACACGTCCACAGGCTGAGCAGACGCTGCCGGGCGATTCAGCGATCGGTAGGGGGTACAGCACAGTGCGCACAGGCAGCACAGAAATACAGGAGGAAGCGCGAGTAAACTACAGGTAAAGTGTGATGAGATCGGCAACAATGATAAGTGATTGCAGGATATTCAGTCGACTCTCCACTTCCTGCCCTTCTCTCCCTCTCTCTCTTATTTACCCGGTGGCACGGGCCACGCGGGCCAGGTTCAGTCGTTTCCCCTTCCCCCTTCCTCCCCTATTTACCCAGTGGCGCGGGCGACGCGGGCCAGGATCAGTCGCTTCTCGTCGTTGGTGAACTGCATGATGCCCGGACTCTCGATCTTCTGACGGATCCAGTTGCACTGCTCCAGGTCGTTGATGTACATGTACTCCACGCCGATACTCCTATAATAAGGGCAGCGTGGTGAGATGGGATCGACGCGCTCCGTCCGACCGCAGCGAACCTGGACGTTCTGAAAAGCCAGTCAGAATATGACTCGACGGACAAGAAGGAATACTGTTATAACGAGTCAAATAAGCCCAGGTCATCTGGTATGAAGTGTACTATTTCAAAACACTAGAGCTTAACGTCTTTGAGGCGCATTTTACACGTTCAATAGCCGTCGTACTTCAGCCGTGTCGAAGGTCAAAATTCCCGCGCCTCTGACCGGCTTATGCACCAAGTCCACGCTTCTGTCACCTGTAGTGGGCCTGCTCCAGTGGGAGAGGCAGGAGACAGGGCACGGGATTCAGGAGACATGGGTCAGGAAGGGACGGAGTCACCTAATTTGCAGCAGGCCTGCTCCAGCAGAGGAGAGGACCCGGGAACCCACCTGCAGTAGGCCTGCTCCAAAGGAGGAAGGGACAGGGACAGGGAACGACAGGTCGGGGGCAGCTGACCCACCTGCAGTAGGCCTGCTCCAGTGGAGGACAGGGACAGGGACAGGGGACAGGTCGGGGGGGGGGGGGGAGCTGAATTACCTACCTGCTCCAAGGAGGAAGGGCCAGGGACAGGGGAGAGGTCGCGGCAGCTGACCCACCTGCAGATGGCCTGCTCCAGTGGGGGAGGGGACCTAGAAACCCCTGCAGTGAGCCTGTTCCAGTACAGGGGAGGGGTTGACGGAGAGGGGGAACCCACCTGCAGTAGGCCTGCTCCAGCCGGTTGACGATCTCGCGGAGCGGCAGCGCCTTCTCGCGGCCGCCGATAAAGGTGGAGGACGGCAGCTGGAAGACCGTGTCCATGTCCTGCTCATCTGTGGAAGGTCAGAGGTCAGAGGTCAGAGGTCAGAGGTCAGGTCAGAGGCCAGTGGTCAGTTACAGGCCAGGGCTCAGTTAGAGGTCACAGGTCAGGGCAACTGGAACACCGTGTCCATGTCCTGCTCATCTGAGGGAGGGTCAGAGGTCAGACCAAAGGTTAGAGGTCAGGTCAGAGGTCAGGGCAGCTGGAACACCGTGTCCATGTCCTGCTCATTTGGGGGGGGGGGAGAGGAGACTCAGAGTTCAGGCCGGCTGCAGGACAAAACAAATCAGAAAGCTTTCGGAACAATCGATATATAAAAATCAGGTAAGTCGTAATTTGTAGGCCGGGTGAATTTATTGTTCACAACTTTGAGTGCTGCATCCTTTGTTTTATAGAGACAATAACAACAGACTTTACACAAAAAAACTTGCCTTATTAATAAAACGTATGTTAACGATAAAATCTAAATGAGAGAGGAATGTCGAATGTGTGACACCTAAACCGGAAATAAAACAAAGCAAAGGAATACAAGCGTTCAAACAGGTTCCGAGAGAAATGAAAACAAACAATACGCCCCAGACCCACTCGCCGTATGGCGTGTTTGTTGTGTATGCTTCATGGCCATCATGGAATGTCAATTGGCATCATTCTTCTGTAAACGCTGTAGTAGTGAATTCCACAGATGACAGACATGCCGAAGTTTTGCATGTAGCCGTGGTGTTACGTACCGAAGTTTTGCATGTAGCCGCGGCATTATGTACCGTAGTCACGCATGTAGCCGCGGTGCTACATACCGAAGTTTTGCATGTAGCCGCGATGTAACGTACCGAAGTTCTGCATGTAGCCGCGCACGACGATCTCGGAGGCGGTCTCCACCGGTTTTCGCTCGATCTCCAGCGGGTCCAGCCGGGCCACCAGGTGACCGCGGATCTGAGACGGAAGGGCAGATGTCAGGTCAGAGATCAGGTCAGACCTCCAGCGGGTCCACCAGGTGACCGCGGATCTGAGAAGGAAGGGCAGAGGTCAGGTTAGATCTCCCGCGAGTCTAGACGGGCTACCAGGTGACCGCTGACCTGGGGAGGTCAGGTCAGGTCAGAGATCAGGTGAGATCTCCAGGGGGGGGGGCAGGTGGACCACCAGGTGAACTCAAATCTGAGGGAGAGGGCAGAGGTCAGGTCAGAGGTCAGCTCAGAGGTCACAAAGGGACACACAGCGTTACAAAGTGACACATATCGGCATTAGGTGACCACAGATTTGAGAAGATCAGGTCAGGTCAGAGGTTGGGTCACAGGGGTCACGCAGCGCCAGGAGGTGATCGCGAGTCTGAGGGAGAGGTCAGGTCAGGTAGCACCAGGTTCCACTCGGAGTCACACTATATCACATCGGATCGCAGCATGTGTCATCTTGTCAGGACATCACCACGTGTCTCTCCTCTCTCTCCCCCCTCTCTCTCTCTCTCTCTCTCTCTCTCTCTCTCTCTCTCTCTCTCTCTCTCTCCCTCTCTCCCCTCCCCTCCCCTCTCACCTGGTAGCTGCGGATGACGCCGACGACGCTCAGGTGGTCGGCGATGGTGTTCTCGCTGGCGGCGGCGCCTGGCACTCGCGCCGCGCCGCCCACCATGGGCGCCACCAGGGCCGAGACGGGCAGTGAGTTGGCCGACGGCGCGGCCAGAGACGGCGGCGCCATGTAGGCCGCGCCCGGGCCGGCGCCGCCAGCCGTCCGCGAAAAGTACGCGTCCCATGACTGAGAACAGCCACAGGGGAGCAGTTCGTCAGTCACAGAACACTGGAGACTGACTGAACAGCGGTAGGGGGCAGACGTCAGTCATAGAACATAGACGATAGGCATAACACGGGAGGTAGCTGCTGCCTGTTTTTACACGCGTGCAACGACAGTACGGGTCATAATATCGATCGACATAGTAATAACAAATAACAAGTACATTACGCTACGTCATCGTAGTCTCAATGCCATCACGAGCAGCCAAAACACTCGTGTAATGACAAACACAAAATCAATCACTTATCACGCAGGGTACACTGAACTTTACGGCGCAAGAATATCAGTCGGTCATTTTGCACCGACTAGTCGGTGTCGACGAGTCGAGTGGACCAGTGTTCCGGGCTCCGGTTTTGGGTTGTCCGCTAGATGGCTGTGTATTCTGAGGTATGTGCGGGCTACCCGTTAGTCCAATCGGCGTCGGGACGGTGTCCGAGGTGGGGTGGGGTCCACATTAGTGTTAGGTATTTGCAGAAGGCGCGGCACCCTGATATCTCGGCTACAGCCAGCCTGCAGTGACTGCCGAGCGGCCGAGTTAAGGCGACATAAACAGACCCAGCCCATCTTGGGCGCCGCCCGGCGCCCCCAGCGGCGCCGCCCCACCCGTACCATCGACACAGACAGATCTGTCTCCGGCGCTCCCCAGTACCTAACCTATCCGAGCGGCGAGCCGGCGGCCGGCGCCGTACCATGGCCACAGACCGGCCCGGCTCAGGTCTGCCGCGTCCCAGTGGCGGCGGCGGCGGCGGCGGCGGCGGCGGCCGGCCGACCCGCCCCTGCCTGTCCCGGCACGGTCAGTTGCAACACAGTGTCACCCCTTCCGGCCAAAGAGTGGCCGAGCATAAATAAACACCGAGCGCGCGCCTCTCTTCGCAATGTATCCCGAAAATGCCACGTCACCGCCGCCTGTGACGTCACCTGGCCGGCTGCCATATGGGCTGCCATATCGGCCACAGGCACGTGACGGAGGACGCAGCAGTGTGGCTGCCAGCGCCGCGGAACGGAGGCACCCTCAGAGAGGTCCCTGGGGACAACGGCGCACGGAAATCGGGACCGTATCGTCTCCCCAATGTGATAAAATACATTCCGCCAGTGTGGAATATGAATGGATTACGCACAGTGTCGAGAGCGTTCAGCGACACACCGTGATGGTGGGATACGACAGAAGAAAAGAGTATAATGGCTCGAATGGGCATTGAAATTATTCAAGGTAACGACGCCACGATACCGGTAGCCGTCAAAACAGAATAAGACCGCGGCACTGAATGTGATTGGGATTAATAATTGCCCCAGCAGCGAGAATGGTCGCCACACAGCTGGTTTTGCAGGAGCACTGGGCTGTCCAGAACTCGCAGACTGCACGGGACGAGCACTGTCCGGAGTCCGGACAGCGGACGCAGTAAGCACTGTCCGGAACCCCGACACTGGCAGCTGTATGTACACAGTATACAGGAGGCGCGGTGTGTTCCGGTAAGCAGTGGCGGCGACCCGCCGATGCACCGCGCCCGACCACGGCCTACCGCCCGGCTGTCAGGCCACATAAGGCAGTACGGTGGAGAGCACCGAACAGTTTTTGTATTCTGAGTCGAACAAACTTTCTTCTTAAAGGTAGTGTGCCACCTCTGAAAGATTTCCCATTTTATTTTTCCTAGGATAAGAAGCTTCTGTTTTTACCTAATATCGCAAAAAAAATCAAAAATGGGCCTGGAATAGTGCCTTTTTCGCCTAAAAGTTTTTCGGTTTTTAGATATGTATAACAACTGTAGTGGGCTCACCTGCAAACAGGCGTCGGGCAACAATCGCGAATGCGGCGCACTTGTGACAATAAGCAAAGGTCATTATAGTGTTACGACCATACGACGTACGGGAATGAGTTATCAGCTGTCTAATCGTAGACAACACAATGTCGAGCCTTAAACTGTAAGCCCGTATTGGTATTGTTTCTTTTATTTGGCTGTCGAACATTATTTATGGTTTGAAATATGGTTTTATGTAAAATAATTGATATGAAAAAGCCGTCTTATAAGTTATGACCCCATTTCACCACACGCAAGTGGCAGACATGACAATGATCAGCTGACGCATTTTTCTTGGCCGAAGTCAGAGCGCGCGGCCCGACGCACCACGCGTATTTGGAAATTCCGACCTCGACGAGCATCAGAAGCCACCTAACAGGCGTGTTCGAAACCGCAGGAGATGATGATGAACGGGTTTATCGAAACTTGATTGGATGAGCATATCGGTAATAGCGATTTCAGTGTGTGCATTTATTGTTCATAGTGGTGTGAAATGTGGTTGGGGTACGACCGACAACCCGTCGGGGCGAATTTCGCACTGGGGTACTCAAAATTTGAAGAATTTAAGACGTTTCCATGAGTTTTGAAGGTATGGATAAGTTCTAAAAATCCGGTTCTCCTTATCTGGGCCATTAACTCCATACGGTCCAAGAAAGCTGGCACACTACCTTTAAGACACCTCTCCTTCATGTTATTGTTAAAATTTTCGGGAGCATTTCAAACCTTCACATGAGCCATCTCATCACAGCCCGGCTCCCGTTTTCATCACATTCCATTTCTGTCTAACCACCTTCCTTCAACATGTCCCGGTCCTCATCCCAGCCTGTCCCAGACCTATCCCAGCTCTGTCCCATCCCTGTCCCGGTCCCCATCACTCGAACAGTACCGGACGGAGGGTCACGTGACACCGCCCACCGCCCACCACACGGGTCACGTGACCGACAGGAGCCGGCGACAGCCAAGGGTGGGTATTTTTACTCTGGCACGGTCTACCGGCGGGGGAGGGGGTGAGGAGGGGGTGACCTGGCCCGGCCGGGCCAACTGAGGTCCCCCGCACCGGGATAAAACAGAGGAACGGAACGCTTCAGACGCTCAATGAACCGATCATCCACGGGAGGAACGGCACCTATTCGGTACAGAGACCAAAGGCGCAAACGATGCCTTGAGAGTCAATAAGAAGCACACCCTGCGTTTACGTAATGCTAATTATCAGCGGATGTTCTCAAACGGACTATCAGCAGAACGGCTCCACACTTTGCTGATAGCGTCGCACTCGATCTAAGTGGGAGCAGGCGGAGTCTGACTGACAGAAGTGGGGCGGATGTGGGGGTAAGGGTGGGATGGGGCGGAGGGGGTAATCCACACGGCCCACTGACCGGGCCGTTAGCTCTGAGCCAAGATTTCTGCCCCTGTGCAGCTAACAGGGTGAGCGGGTATCAACCAGGGCGGGCTGGTCCCGTTTGAACCTCTGAAAAGGACAAGGTTCCGACAGTGCCCGGGAGCGGCGGCAGGACGGGGGTTCTCCTCCACTGGCAGCGGCCCAGCCGGCCCGGCTGCCGGTGTCAGGGTCAAACAGCCGCCAGAAGAGGGGACCGCGGCTGGCCAAGAGCGGCCCAGAGAGTGATGGACTATCCCGGCAATATGATGTGGTGGTGTATGATCAGGAACCACAGTTTGAGCCTGCAGTGTCACATAGGTCACCTATCTGACCCTGTGGCGCCGTCAGGGGTGACCTCCCAGTGCAGTGGCGCGGTCAGGGGTCACCTCTGACCGTGCGGCGTCATCAGGGGGCCCCTGATGACGCCGCAGGACTGGTAAAGGTCCGCCGCGACCCTCTAACCTGGCGCCCGGCCAGCCGAGCCGAGTCGGCCCGTCGCGGCGGGTCGGTCCGTGGGCCCGTCCCGCCACCGTCCTGCCCGGGGGACGGACGGGTATGGCTAGTATTCAGCTGGGATTAGCCCCGACCCGCGGAAGACTGACCACCGCGTGTCACACTGCGGTGGTCAGTCCCCGTTCAGGCTCCGTTCTGATCACTGATCAGAACGGGGCGGATATAACCAGCAGCTACCAGCTGCGTCCGCACATACAGATCTCAGACCTGCCACAGGACTAGACAGTGTGACCACGGGCCCCAGACGTCACCCGCTGTGTCAGGGTAGCCAGCAGCCAATACCCCGCTGTGTCAGGGTAGCTAGCAGCCAGTCACCCGCTGTGTCAGGGTAGCCAGCAGCCAATACCCCGCTGTGTCAGGGTAGCTAGCAGCCAGTCACCCGCTGTGTCAGGGTAGCCAGCAGCCAATACCCCGCGTATCAGCAGGCCACTCTCACCGTACCCCACACGGCCGGCGCGGCGTCCGGCGCTGGGCAGTGAGACAGCTATCATCAGACGGCCGACAGCGAACCAATCGGGCCGGGAGCGCCACGGGGGAACCGGGTTGACTGTAGACACAGAGCGCCAAGGTGTGTCTACAGCACACTTGGACCATGTCATAGCAGCATTGTTCGGGGACCTGAATGGCGCAAGGAACATCTTCATCGGAGTTGCTGACCATGAAGACGAACAGTTGAGATAAATGCCAATTTTCATCTATTCAGTAATAGGTTCCGCACAACATGACAAAACGGAGACGAGGGTCCTCCTCTGTTGCTCTCAGAACCTCCACGGCGCCACCATCCGCCGAACCACAGACCGGTAGGCCACCCGTCTGAGGCCGCCTCCCCGGTCCCGTTGTTATCTCAAGGCCGCGCCCGGCGGTGTCCCCGTCCCCTATCTATTGCGTAACGGGCCCAGCTGTGTCGTAACAGGACAGAGTGTCCGCCCCGGAGTAGATGCGGTGCGTCACCGGACTGGGCTAGGGAGGGCAAAGGCGCGTCACCGGACTGGGCTGCGGAGGACAGAGGCACGTCCTGTCCTCAGCACAAGCGCGGCACCGGACTAGGCTAGGGACTACGGAGGGCAGAGGCGCGTCCTGTCCTCAGCACAGGCGCGTCGCGTCACCGGACGGTCTATCAGGGGCGGACGCACCTGCCGCGCCGATACGGTACGGTACGCAGCGGAAACCCGTGGACCGTGCCGTTAGCAGACGGAGCTTTATGAACGGCCTCCGTTAGATACTCGCAGAGCAACTGGAAAATACACACCCCACTCCATGCGAGGCCTCGGCAGCAT